TGGAACTTATCAAAGACTTACCTGAGGGTCTAAGGAGAGACATCAAGCGCTATCTTTGCTTGGACCTCATTAAAAAGGTAAGAAAGATATAAACCTGCAAATGAAAAAAACAATAAATTTCTTCAAAAAAGATCTAAACAAACTCCTAGGGGTCGGTCTGCTGGTGAAGACTTGAGTCGAGTGTGATTCTCTCAAGATCTCAGGTTTTAATTCTGCTAGGGGCTAACAATATGTGTTGGATCAGTCCATACAGAGCTTTGCTCTGGCTCGCAAGGCCGGATATCAAGCTTTTAAAAATAACTGTCTAAACAACTTTTCCTGATAAGTAGTTATGTATGTTTGTTTGACAGGTACCATTGTTTCACAACTTGGATGATCTTATTCTTGACAACATTTGTGACAGGGTGAAGCCCTTAGTCTTCTCTAAAGATGAAAAGGTATTAATGATATCATCATATGAACAATTGAAACATTCTATTTAGAAAAAGATGACTTCAAAATGACCATGATGATTGTTTAACTCTTCGATATCCTTGTGAAACAGATAATTAGAGAAGGCGATCCTGTACCGAGGATGGTATTCATTGTTCGCGGACGCATAAAGCGAAACCAAAGTCTAAGCAAAGGCATGGTAGCAACTAGTGTCCTCGAACCAGGAGGATTTTTAGGCGACGAACTACTTTCTTGGTGCCTAAGACGTCCTTTTATCGACCGGCTTCCAGCCTCCTCAGCTACATTTATCTGTCTTGAATCAACTGAAGCATTCGGTCTCGATGCTCAAAACTTGAGATACATAACCGATCACTTCCGGTACAAATTCGCAAACGAGAGACTAAAGAGAACAGCGAGATACTACTCGTCTAATTGGAGAACATGGGCTGCTGTCAACATTCAACTTGCGTATAGACGTTACAGGCGGAGGACTAGAGGTCCAGTGACTCCTGTAAGGGGCAATGGCGGCTCTGAGCATAGGCTCTTGCAGTACGCTGCAATGTTCATGTCAATTAGGCCACACGATCATCTTGAATGATGAAGTCTCTGCAACCGCATCACAATCACAATTTCGACCGCATTGGTTATATTTTTTCACAATATAAAAATTTGCAGTGTAATCACAATTTAAAACCGTGTGATAAGATAAACTAGTGTCCATGATTGGTTCTATTTTTATTTATTTGTTTTATTATTTTGAATGTTCGAAATTGCAAACGCATTCTCGAGTGTCTCTTTTGTTAGTAATTTTAAGAAATAAATTTATTAACGAAAAAACACGAAAACGTAAGATACCATTTCCTAAAATAGCGGTTTCGGTTGTAACCAAATTTGGAGAAATTGGTTGGAAGTGAGGTTATCATTACATCTAAATATAGCAAACCATATCTGCCAATCCCCTTTCCATTTTTTTCTCTCTCTCTTACACCAACCTATCATCACAACATGGATCAACAATGTTGTAATCATCATCATCATCATCAACTTTCATTTCATTATTCTCTGGGGTCTCCTGAATTTTTTTGGAGCCCTGGATTTTTCTTTTTCTGCTTTCTTAATATTGAGAGTCACTAATCTGCTACTACATGTTCGGATTAATTAGGTAACATGGTTTTGTTCTTGTGTGTCTCTGTCTTCTATTTGTTGTTTTTTTCAAAAGGGTCTATGAAAAATTTAATCTTTGTTGATAAGAAGACATCTTAGAACAAGAAATATGCAAAATTTGATTGATACTTTAGAGGATGTAATATAGTCTCTAAATTGCAGTTGTGCTTATTCTGCGAATCTTTATATTAACAAAAAGAGATTGATGCGATCAAAATTGTGTCTGTGTCGGCGTGTCTGTGTCCGTGCTTCATAACCTTAATAAATATTTTGTTGTTGATGTGATAGGTACCTTATTGTCAGTGTGGAACCTGGCATATCAACCTAATGGGGTTGAAACTAACAAAGCAGGAACCACCCAAAATCAATAGTCCAACAAATTTGGAAATACATCATCGCATGATCCATTACCTTACCAAGAATTTTATTCGTAACTTGGTATCCAAGCAAAGGAGAAGAATTCTTATTGCTGGCTATGATCTTGACATGTCATACATCACAGATAGAGTGTTGGCTATGTCATTTCCTGCTGAACGTATGAGAGCAGTGTACAGAAATCCTCTCTGGCAGGTTAAATCTGTGTTGGATATGAGACATCAAGAACATTATAAGGTGCGCAAGCTATCCAACATCACGCATAATGCATATATGTTAACTCAGTAACACCGACACCGATGAAAAAAGATGTGTCCGTGTCAGTGTCGGACATCGACACTGACACGACGCTGCAACTTGTGATTACGTTTAATTTATATCAGTGTCGGTGTCGTGTCCGTGTCTATGTCCGTACTTTATAGTATATTAACATCCTAGTCACCCTTAAACGTGTCAAACTTTTGGTTTTGTGCGGTAGTCCAACTTTCACGCCCTCAAAACGACCCTGTTGGTAGAATTACAAATGATAACTATACCACTTTTGAAATTTTCAGGTCTATAATCTGTGTATAGAAGAAAGTTATGATCCAGCGCACTTCTACGGTCGCGTGGAAGCATACCCTTTTGATGACAATCACGTACCATCTCTTCAAATGGTTAAAGATTTCTGTGAAAGTGTGGACTCATGGCTGTCACAAGACCCGAAAAATATTGCTGTTATTCATTGCATGGTATGAGACTTCACATTCAAACTTCCAAAAGAGCATACGTTTGGGAGAATCATAATTCGAATCTTAGCTGGAGCAATCATTTACCTGACTTATGTATCAATAGTTACTCCAGCTAAGATTCGCTGAATCAAACTCGCTATTTTGTCACTTCATACAATCGATTACAAAAGTGAGATGACGTGCCAAAACATTGATATGTATTAGACGTCACGATAAAACTGGTTGACACTGGCCGTGCATATCCTTTAAAATCGTAACTATAACTAGTTACATATTTTTTCTCATTCATATCATTTGATTCCAATAATGCAGGCAGGTAAAGGAAGAACTGGTTTAATGGTGTCTGCATACCTAGCTTATAGCGGCATGTCAGCAGATGAAGCTCTTCAATTATATGCAGATAGAAGAACAACAAATAATGAAGGAGTAAGTTAATGTTAGGTATAATTCCAACAATTTGAAATGTAAATTTATCTCAATCAACTATGCGTTAGGATATTAACATCTACGTGCATCGTCGATAGAAATATGTTTTACACTGTCAATCAATCAGAACTGATAATATGTGACTTTGGAAGTAAAGTTTTTTAATGAGCTAACGATTATGACTATGTTCAACTGCATTTTTTTACATTGGATTAGGTATCAATACCAAGCCAACGTCGTTATGTAGGGTACTGGGAAAGTTTGCTTTCTGTCCCTAGGGGAATTGGATATGAATCTCCAAGAGTGAATTTGCCTCAACCATGTAGCAGAGAATTACGGCGAATCCGATTGTACGATACTGCAAACATCGACACAGTTTTCTTTGTTATATCAGAACTGCAGGAGGTTAGTTTCTCCTCGATTTAACTGTGAAACATTTTCGTTACCTGGTCTGGTTGAAAATACGTGTTCTTTTGTTTCATTGTTCGACAGATTCCTAACCAGGTCTACCGTCCAGCCATCGAAATTTGTAGGAGCTGCTGTAGAGCGGTTAAGAAAGGTTATCAAAGAACAAACAGCCCGCGCTATTATATTTCTATACCTGAAGGTGATGAAGATGGAAAACAATCGGAAATAGAAGAACCTCGTGTCGTAGTTCAAATGGATACAGAAACCCCTGCGATATACCAGAAGTCTTGTTTGGACCATTATTTTGAACAACCTATTCAGGTAAGTTATATGTTTCTATCAAACATAATACAATATTTTTCGCGCAAACCTTCACAGTCTCTAAGCTGTTCTCGATCTATCAGGTAATAGGAGATGTTCGTGTGATATTCTATGAGAAAATGATCGGAGGCCGTCTTTTCTACTGCTGCTTTAATACAGCTTTTATTAGGAACAGCTTACTACAGGTAACCTCATCCTTCTCAGGGAAATCGATTTCAGCCATTGACTTGAAATCGATTGACTGACATTACATGTAACTATTTTGTTTTGCAGCTCACAATAAAGGATTTGGACAAAGTTGGGAAGAAAGGAAGATCAATTTGTGGACCTACATTCTGCGTAGAATTATTGTTTGGACCTGCAAACACAGGATACACGTCTTCGAATATATCTCTTGGAGAACATTTCACTGATGATTCATTATGAAAAATACATGTCACGTCCATTCGAAAAAATAACATGAAAGGCCATGCCCGATTCTTTACGCAACCTGTTGTAATATATTTCCTGCAAAATGATCCCAACATTGAGAGTCCCTTACTGTGTTTTTGTAATTTCTTCAGCTGTCTTCTCGTCTAATTTTTCATTGGCGAAAGGCCCAAGTGTAATTTTTTGTATTGTTTATTGATTGAATAGCATTTTGCACATCAAAAGTTCATCGGTTATCTAATTCATTTTATTCTGTCATAATCTTATCAGAGGAAAAAGTACTGATAAAAAATTGTAATATAGGACACATCAATCATTCTTTTAGCAAAGCTTTTGAACTTCCTTGATTATAAATTACAACACAAACTATTGTATGTCAAAGTGAATCGGACTAGGAACACAAAATCCTTGTCCTTGTGACTCAGTAATACCTAAAAACTCGACTAAAAAACAGTTTTGTAATAGTTGACATTGTTTCCCATGGCTAAGAAAATTGGGATAGTAAGCAAATTGTTGGAAATGTTACAGTTTAAACAGAAGCACACTATTATATTGCGAGTTTCCCATTGCTGTGATTAAGGTTTAAGGCCTGTGTGCCATGCTTCGGCTAATGCAAAGTAGTATTTGAATCAGGGGGGTCTAGTGCTTGCCTGTCTCCTTGTTAAGAATGAGCGAACATAAAATTCGAAGTAGCTTAATTTCCTGTGAATGGTTCTAGGTCAATAATGCTGCCTTGCGTTTTGCATAATCTTCAACAACACTTATCACGCTATTGCTATGACGCAGTGAAAACTCTGCTAGTAGAATTTGTCTTTCTTCTACTGTCAAATCGCCATGCTGGCCCTGCAACCGAAGTGAGAAATTCAGACGAGATGCAGCAATAGTGCAATAACAATGCAGTCAAATATGATGCTATGCGACATAAAGTATAAAATTAAGATCGTTACCGTTCGAGAGATTCTATCACAAACAGCATGGTGCATGAGAATTCCTGCAGCAACTGAAACATTGAAAGAGTCCACCATCCCTTTCATTGGAATACTGCAGTGTAAATCTGACATTGCCAAAGCCTCATCGCTAATACCCCTGCAAAAACAAAAAAATACACAAATCTCATCAGAAAAGTGAAACTGAAGTTACAAAAATAGAACAAATTTTTTAAATTAAATTTAGGGTAATAGTTTAAGATTCTTAACCTATTTTCGTTCCCGACTACTATTGCAGTTGGACAAGACCAGTCCATGTCATAAATAGAAACCTATACACAGCAAGAAAAGGTTAGCCAGCTTCATTGTACGAAAAATATTTGCCAGTACAATACAACAATACATGATTACAGGTTGAATTGAACACAATTTCTCGGGATATTTATAAACTAACAGAAGTAGTAGAGACGAATAATACCGCATCTATTCCAACATGAGTCGTGGCAATTCTATAACCGCGTGATTTCAACGTTTCAAAGCACTCCTTCGTAGAGTCCCACAGCTCGATGTCCAACCATTTCTCTGCACCCATGCTTACATGACGATTGTCCTTGTACCTGCAACAAAGAACACAAGTTAGACATTGCAATTACGATTTACTCAACTTCGTTTTAATTAAGATAAAGGAAATTCATATCAACATTTTCCACTATAAACATTTGTTAGACATTATGGACATATTTGGCCCATTACTTTGTTTACCATAAGCCCGTTAAAACAAACTCTACAACTTAGATGATTATTCTCTAAACCCTAAATATAAAACTTCATCATTTCAAATGGCGTGCATTCATTGCCACCGAATTGTTGTGCATTTGCATCTTGTCACCCTTCTCGGCTTGAAAAGTAAATTTCAGTGTAAAATCACGTTTATACTTAAAAGCTACAAATTCTACCTTCAACGAGAATCATTTCTAGAAAGCATAATCAATTCAATTCTACTCGAGAACAATCAAACATGACAAATCAATTGTACACATGGAGAATCAATTCTAAATACTTCAACTTGAAACCAAACCTACAGTATATGGATTAAAATGCAATAAATCAAAGAACCAAAAAAAAATGTCATATTCAAATTTCACCTCAACAACAATGTAAACACCTTTTGTTAGCTTCACTAGAAACAACATGAACAGACTGAACACCAAGAGCATCAGCAGATCGAAAAGCAGCCGAAACATTACCAAAATCACACAACCCTTCCACCACAAGACAAACCGAGTAGCTTCGGTTCCGAGCCGCGTTCCCGAACCTTTCTTTCCTCGACTTCGAAACACAGGGACTAACAGCTTCAATAACTTCGTTGCTGGTAAGTTCGTAACCGTTCCCGCACCTGAAACTGTCTAGGTAAGGGAACCACCGAGAATGAGGCTCGTGAAGAAGAGGCTTTCGTTGCATTTTCATGGCTGAGGTGACTCCGTTGTCGTTGGTGAGGATGTTTTGGATTTTGTCCTTCGATTGCGGCTGTTCTATTTGTGGGTCTTCTGTGGATGAAACGACGGCGGTTTGAGATGGAGTGTAGCATCGTGAGGTGGATTGGTGGTGGGGGAGAGAAGAAGCAGGAGGAAGAAGAGAGAGAGTGGATTTGGATTTGGATTTGAATTTGAAGGAGGAAGAGAGGGATGAACAGAACATGGTTTTGCAACTACTCATGTTGTTGTTTTGTTCTTCCTATGATTCTTTTGGATAACAAAACATATATGATGAGTCTCTTATATCAATAACTTATAAAACATCAAATAACACCATTTTAGTAGAGTGTGTCTCAACTTCAAAAATAACACTTATTAGTAGAGTGTGTCTCAATTTCAAAAAATAACACTTAAAGCGTGATAAATTTATTTAATACAATATAAAATATATTTAAATTCGATTTGATAAAAATAATGATTGATTGATAAGTTACTTAATAATTTATAGTTTATGATTGATGGTCGATGAATGATAACTTATAAAAATGATATAAAAGATATTTAATATATAATTATTTAATTTTATATTAAATAAATTATAGAGGGTAAAGGTAGATTTTAGCTAAATAATAAGAATAAAGATGGAAGAGAAAATAATAAGTTATAAGCTAAAATACTAATTGAAATAACATCTAGAAAATAAACTATAAATTTCTGATGAAAAAATTGTTTTCAAATAAATTTTTTATTGTCATATGAACTTATAAGTTATAAACTATAAATTATAAACTCAAAAAGTATGTGTCAAACAGAATCTTAAATGCACATATAAATTTGAAATGAATTACTTAATTATAAAATAAACAATGATTATATAAACTCGAAAATATTATATAATTATACAAAAAGAATGAAAAAAAATTAACATTTTTAAATAAAAATTTTACATTTTAAATAAAAATAAATAAATAATATGTTCATAGTGATAAGAAAATTATGGAGTATTTGATATTTTTATCCAAAAAAACAAAATAAAATTGAATATTAAAATGATAAATTTTGAGTAGAATTGAATTGATAATGAAATATAACTTTTATTATAAATGGCATCTAATTTATTTTTTGTAAAAAATATTTAATTAATTTATAGCATTTGATGTTAAAATTTAATTGAAAAATTAAATAAATTAAGAATTTGATTATAATTTTTAAGTTTAAAGATACATTTTAATCAATTTATATTATTTAAAAAAATTGAGAGTTTATTCCTCAGCCACAAAAATAATATGAAGTTTTGATTGGGCCAGTAAAAACATATTTTCTTGGATCCAAATTCAATTTAAACTCTAGCTTTATTGCTAAATAAGATAAGGATCTCTCATTTGGTAATTTCTTTTTCCACTTTTATGCATTCTTATAAATTTTTGGTGAAAACTCAAAAATATCTATCGAATTTGGAGATGCATATTTGAGCGTACATATTTTCAATTATACTTAATTTTAGTTTGGAGATGTATCTCTGAAATTATATGTCATATGTTTCGGAGATGTATATATAAAAATATCTCTGATACTTCAAATGAAAAACAGAAACGGAGATAGTATTGATAGCATTGGTTAATCAGAAATTTATAATTGATAATCATAACAAATTGACATTAAATTAAAATACTCAACATATAGATAATTGATAATCTGAAAATTAACATTACATATCATTATAAATGGGTAGTTTTGAACGTTGTAACATATTGATAATATCGTCGATGGATCTTGCAGTGTTCACATCCACTTCAATTGAACCTTTTGTTTTATATAAGCGAAAAGTACTCCACAAAACTTCTAAATCTGCACCCGTCTTCAGTTCAAAGATGGTGAACTGTATCTTTCGGTCACTGTCAAGCGAGGGTGAACGATACTCGAGCTTGACAACTTGTCGATTTTTGGATATCACAGGAGCGTATTTAGTTTGGACATCAGGTCGGCGCAAGTTAGTCATCGCAGACCCTAAACTGAACTGACTACATCTTACCATTGAAATACACAAATGTGAGGTGGGGACATCTATTCATTTTTTGTATTAGATGCTTTGTAGAAAAAATAGGATGAGAGACACCATATTTATATAATAAGGCTTAGATCACTTTGAACCTTAGAAACCTTATCAAGTCATCAAAGTATTTTTTGGAGATGCATATCCAAATAAATCCTAATATTTTACGAAAAAAGACTTATTCGGATATGCACGTCCAAAAAATATATGGTGTTTTTTAAATTAAAATGGGTTTTATCCGGATATGCATATCCGAAATCAACACTGAACCAAAAACAAACCAGAAACTTAAAAAACATAAACAAAACTTGTAAACTATATATTACTTATGTATTAAATCTTATCAAGATTACATCGTTGACGATAATACACTTGAATTTTTTTATCAATTACGATCTAAAGTGCATCAAAAGATACATTACCGTATAAACTACGACTGATTCCTCCTTTGAATTTTCCTTATTTGATTCTTTTTTAAGCTCACTCAATTTGGTGAACTCTTCCATCCTTTCCAGAAATTGATCTGGCCAAGTTTCTGCCTCTTTTGTGGAATGTGTCGTCCACTCCAACAATGTACTTAGTATAGGAAACTCTGGTTTCAAATAAACTTCAACAAAATGTAGTAATTTTGAAAGCCACACTATACACATGATGTGTCCAGAGGGGTCTTTAGTTGGGCCACTCCGAAGTGGAAAAAATGTCTCAGAGAAACCATATCTTTTCAGATCGATACACATGTCATACCCCAAATTTGTCCGCCATTTATCACTACGGTCGAAATTAATTTTAAACTTGGATTTTTATAAAATTCTTTTGATTTACATTAGTATTTTGGGATTCTATAAATATTCGTTCTCAAGTCCAGTTAAAAATATAATAATTTATTTCAAATTATTTGTATTTTTAAAATAGCAAATATTTCCACACTTTCATATATTTTCAATTGAGTTTATTTATAAATAAGTAACATAGCATAATTGGTAAAAAATGAAACTTGCAATTATGAGGTCGTGGGTTTGAATCTTGTGTTTTGCATTTTTAACATTTTTTCTATTTCTTTTTGTTACTAATTTTCTTTCCTTTTTTAGAAATCGGGCTTGGACTTTTCATACATTTTGGATAACTTACTCCCTAAGTTTTTTTAACCTAATTCAAGTCTATAAATAGGACTCTTATTTGTCCTAATCGGTCATCCATAAATTCTCACATATCCATAATTTGTACAATTTCATTCTCTCACATACACTTCATGTTTTACAATTTCTTTTCATTTGTGGTCTTTATTTTTTGGCCAATAATTTCATATGAGGTCTTTCGCGTGATAAATTTTCAGATGATTTTCTTTAAAAAATTATTAATAATGATTTTTGTATCGGATGCCATTTTTTCTCATGTATACAAAAGCCTTTTTTTTATTTATAAACAAGGTATATTCACTTTTAATATTTGCACACATACATATTCTTCCACCAATGTACACATTTTCTCAAAATAATTATATTTTCTCCAAATAATTTTCACTAATTTCTAGGCATTATTTTCTTTTCCTTTACATTGTTCAATGTAATAAACATCACCACCAACATTGTGAACTTATAAACTTAACACTCCATACACAAAACATCAATATTATCACTTTGCCATGATTTCTACACCAAGAAACAAACTATTAAACCTTCAAATAAATCAATAAAAATATTGTATAGTTGTATTCTCTTCCCCGTTGTTGTTTGTTTTTTTTCTTCAGTTTGTTTACATGTACTCAAGAAGAGATCTAAACAGAATTGAAAACAACATGAAACCAACTCAGGACTTCCTTCACAAATCATTGACAAACCCTTCAAAAATGTCATCACTGTCAAGACATCAGTAGGAAAATAGAGAGGAAGAAGGACAAGCAAGTGCAATCAAAACTCCTTGTAAGTTGTCGTTCAATCATCCAAGCTTCGATGTTAGTATGTCTCGATTCCACCCCTTCACTTTTCTTGTTTTAATTTATTGATTGTAGGAATTATTAAAACTTGAAGAAACGAAATGGAGGAAGAAGAGTTATGGATTTGTTTTCCCTTTTAACGTGTGGTTTTCAGAGAGAGAGAGAGAGAGAGAGAGAGAGAGAGAGAGAGAGAGAGAGAGAGAGAGAGAGAGAGAGAGAGAGAGAGAGAGAGAGAGAGAGAGAGAGAGAGAGAGAGAGAGAGAGAGAGAGAGAGAGAGACTAAATCTCAATATTCTATCTTTAAAGTATCAAATAATATGGATTTTTATATTTTATTTATTATCATCATTATTATATTTATTATGATCAGTATATTTATTATGATTGTAAGTAATTTTGATAAAGTCTCATGAATTCTATTGTCAAATAAATTACAGTATTTCTAAACTGGACGTGACAAAGTTAAGACTATTTTTATTCTCTTTACTTTTTACTATATTTAAGTAGGCTTTATATTCATTTGTGGTTTTTGTTTAAATTAATAGGATTTTATTTTAATTAGTTCATTAAATCTTAGTTAATTTAATTATATTCATGTAATTATAAAAATGCTAATAAATATGCCTTTAGTTTTTTAAGTAATTAAATAATTAATTCAAACAATCCATAAATAATAGGATATTCATCTTCGAGTAATTAAATCGATTGACACATTGTCTACCAGTTTATTATTCAAAATCAAATATTAAAACCAACACAACTCACAAATTACTACATCCGCAAGCAACATGTGGCCAATATCTAGTCACGTGATGAAGAGACTATATCAGACTCCCTCTGCTCTGTGTCTTATCTCATCATACTCTTTAATCAAATTAAAACTTAAAACAGCTAACCAACATCAAATCATTTTCTACTAACATAATAAAAATCCAAGATCATTTTCGAAAAAGGATTAAGGAGAATTATTTTCAAATTAACTGCGAACTACGTCTACGCTCACATGATTTTCAACTCAGACAAGGTTCAAGGTTAATTCGAAAGCAATTCTACGCAATCTTATAAAAAGCACAAATCCCTACGAACTACGAATTGGGACTCTAATTCCTCATAAGAGGATACGTAGGCATACGACTGAAATCGTGACGAATTTCCCTAATAAAAAACTAAAACATTATTCCCTAAATATTAATTCTAAACCTAGTATCCTTGTGAACAAGGTAGATTAGGGGTGCATAACATCTTCCCTTCGTCT